TGGTGGAATCTTTCGTTCTTTTTCGTCTGTAACTTTGTTCATAGAGAAGATACAGTATTCCGCATTGTATCATTTTGTAGTACTCGTCGAGCTCTATCATATCCGATGTAGTTTGTCTGAAAATATTGATTCTGAAAGAAACTGTGGCAGTGCCTGCGAAGGCCCGGGAAAGGCCCGGATTACAAATATGAAAAAAAAAAGATTTTTTCAGTGTAAAGCCAGAGATGATCGCTCCGATTCCAGATGAGTTACGAGTGCTTCCGTAAGTGACAAATACATAACATAGATCAATTCTTGATAATTTATAGAGATCACAACAGAGTGATGCCCATTCCAAACGAGCTACTTCCACCGTAAGTTGGTTTTTTTCTTGCTTAATTCTGAAATATCCTAAAATCCTGAAATTGAGAAAAAAATCCGATTTTTTTCAATTTTCAGTGTTTTTTTTCAGGTTTTTGCTGATGTTTCCCTCGGAATATATCGAAAAACCTGAAAATAGGATTATCTGCATTTTGTCGTCAGGTCAAATACATCGTTTCGGTGTTTGCAGAGAATCCCTAACAACAGTGATTTTTTAGCTCAAAAATATCAATTTTACTCTAGAATGCTCATTTTTGGCTCAAAATCTGTTTTTTTTAGCTTATTTCGCTTGATTTTTGAGATATTCTGGGAGAAATATCGACAAAAACCATGACTCCTTGTTTCATTTTTATGTGAATCTACTTGATTTTCTGCACAAAAGCAAGCGAAATAAGCTAAAAATAACAGATTTTGAGCCAAAAATGAGAATTCTAGAGTACGAATTGATATTTTTGAGCTAAAAATCACTGTGGTTAGGGACTCTGCAAACACCGAAACGAGGTGTTAGACCTGACGACAAAATGCAGATATTACTATTTTCTATTTCTATTTTCAGTTTTTTTTTCCAGATTTTTCTCAGGTTTTCCGATATATTCCGGAGAAAAAATCAGCGAAAACTGTTACAAAAGACCTAAAATCGTAAGAAAACGGATTTTTTCTCAATTTCAGGAGTTCTCTTTTTGGTTATGTGAATAATTTTTTGCAAAAAAAATATATATTTAAAACAATTTTTTCTTTTTTCAGCGATCAACAAGTTCCTGAACAGACTCCAATTGTATTCGTCCGTCCACCTCTGCGAAAAACGTTATTCCTGGCTGGCGCTCGTGCTGGAAAGCGAGCAGAACGGCTGAAAAAGGACGAGAAGCAAGGGGAAAGTAACCGAAAAAAGAAGAAAAGGCTACTTGAAGAGGCTAGAGAGCAGGCGAACCAGGAAAACAGTCGAGCCGGTGGCTTCCCGAGACGTCGAGGATTCATAGAACTGACTGGAATGAATGCGTTACCTGCTGGACTCAACAAGAACTCGCCGGTGTCTGTGAAGAGATATCATGCTAGACAACTGGCGAAAGAGACGGGAATGTCTGTGGAAGAAGCGATGAAGGAGATTGAAGAGCAATGTAATGAGTTTGGATGTGAGGACACTCCAGAAGCCAGGGAGCATGATGAGCGAGCGATGGAATTGATAAAGAAGCGAGGAGAGGAGCGGTGGAATCAACGATACAATTATACGCCTGCCGATCATTCGAAGGGTATTCCAGGAGTGGATAGACCGCCAGCAGGGCATCCACCGTCGAAACGAGCAACCACTACCGAAAAGAGCAGACATCGAGACGAGGAGTCGATTCCAGCAGTTAATCGACCTCCTGTGGGATATAATAGAGAACCCGTCCCTGGAGTCGATCGACCACCTGCGGGAGATAGACCCGATAGATCCAGAGAACCTATCCCTGGTGTTGATAGACCACCAATCGGAGATCGAGGATATCGTAGAGAGGATTTTAGAGAACCGATTCCCGGCATCGATAGGCCTCCTGGAGAGAAACGAAGATCGCGAGGAGGTGTGAAGGAGAGGGAGAAGAAAAGGAAGAGTGAGTGGGGGGGGGGGGGGGTTAGGCACTCTCTAATTGAAGGACATGCCTTTCTAATACAGGTTTTTCCAGGAGAAGAGTTCCGAGAAAGAGGTCGAGGTGGTCGTGGTGGAAGAGGAGGAGGACGTGGTGGATTCGATAGAGGAGGTGGGTACGGTAGAGAGCCAAAGGCTGGAAGATACGACGACTACTCTCGAGATCAATACAGTTCGTATCAAGGTGGCGGATATGATGGATATGACGATAGAGGAGGATATGATGACTATTATGGAAGGTGAGAAAATATCTTTTGCTTACTATTACCGTAAAACCTTTATTAGAAGGGCCCCTTTAATAGAAGAGCTCTCCGACGGCACCTCGGAATAAAAGAAGAACAGGCTCTTCTAATTTATTTATTTTATTTATTTATTTATTTATTTTACAGTAAATTTCAATTGCTCATGTTCCAGACACGAGGGATACGATAGCTACAATCAGTATGGTGGTTATGGGACTCAAGAAGGAGAAAATGGCTATGGTTACGATCAACAGGGAGCTGATGCTTATTATCAGCAAGGGTATGAAGGGTGAGTTGGCGATTATTCGGTATTTCGAACCTTAATTTAAAAATTGGCACCCAGCCAATTTTAGAGGCGTCACGTGTCGGCGTAGTGGTCGCCATATGAGTTGCGACTTAGCAACTATTTTAGCTGGACTTTTTTTTTTTAAAATCGCCGCCGAGCTGTCTCTTAAATCGACACAAGCCGGCTCCCAGATTCTCAGAAATAGCACGAAATTCACTTTCAAGATTTTTCGCAGTTTTTTTTTTTGAGTAGTTTTGAAATAGAATTTTCTAGAAACCGAATTCTGACGTCTTCTGAAGCGCAATTCTGCGTCTTCAAACTCTAAAATTTCAAATTTAAAGAAGCATATCGTGAAACCTGTAATAAAAGGGCCCCCATATCTCGGTTCCTGTCCAAGATATCAAAAAGTTCTCAACTGATAAAATGCTTATCATAATATCAGGAGCGTTTTGTCATCTGACAAAATTTTGATATCTCTTACAGGAACCGAGATATGGGGGCCCTTCTATTAGAGGTTTTACGGTACTTGTGTTTGGGCTCATTTTAAAACTCTGAAAACGAAACATTCTAAATTTTTGTGATTTTCGGAAATTGAAAAAGTGTTACATTTTTTTCGGAAAGTTAGCTTGAACTACCGTAATTCCTTCAGTTTTGAGAACGGTGGGTCCACAAGTTCAGATCCTCGAGGGGCTTCAATGAACGAAATTTCGAGAATATTATCTTTTTTCATGTCCCGCACCTCCAATACCCGAAGTTTTTTGTTTTCGAGGATTTAGAGCTATGCGCCTTTAAACAAGAACATCGCTCCTAAAATTCCTTTATTTTTCAGCCAAGAAGCCGCGACGTCATCGTATTATCAAGAGGACGGCAGCCAGTACTACAACGAATACTATGGAACAAGTGATCAGCAAGGAGCAGAAGGAGGCGGTCAGCAGGAGTACCATGCAACATTCGGCGAGCCATCCACGTCATCATCTGCAAATCAACCACCGGCAGCATAATTCTTTGTCGTCTAGATTATATTTATTTTTGCCCTTTTCAATAAAATTTGATTTTTCTTTTTCTATTGTATTATTGTTATTATTTAGTCGTCCAAACCCCGTGAGGAACAGGTCCTTGACGGAGAAATCTAGGTCATCTCGGAGATAAGCAAAGGACAATAATAATATGCAAATGCAGGGGTGATTTTATCATTTATAGGACAAGACGGGGATCGAAGGACAAGGGGCGGTGCTTATATACGGGAGTACGGTATATGGACGGGGTATAAAAGGGTAGGCAGGAGGTAGGAAGGATCATTTTGCCTCCGGATTTTCTATTTTTGTGCCTCTCAGGAAATTCCCGAATTTCCAGAATTTTCTTAATTTTTTCTTAAAGAACTTTTTTAATTTATATATATATTTTTTTTCAAATTTTCAAAATTTCCCAGAAGATGTACGTGGTTGTGGGCTACACGGCCTGCGCCCTTGGCGCTGTTTCCATGCTCCTGTGGATCTGTTTGGTCCCACAAATCTCTCAACAAGTCTCGATGATCCGCGACGAGCTGACCACCGAAATGGAGGCGTGGCGTATTGAGGTCGACCAGATCTACATGGACATGCAAAAGTTCGGACGTGTCCGTAGGCAGGCTGGAGGATACGGTGGATACGGAGGATATGGATCTGGACCATCCGGTCCAAGCGGACCATCTGGACCACACGGTGGATTCCCAGGAGGACCAAACTCTGGATTCCCAGGTGGCAACACTGGATCGTCGAACCCTCCAAACCTTCCAGGAGTCATCGGAGTCCCACCATCGGTCACTGGACATCCAGGAGCTTCTCCAATCAATCCAGATGGATCTCCATCAGGTATGTTCTTTAAAGATTCAAGAATATAACAGAAATCTAAGAAATTCTATTTCAGCCGGACCAGGAGACAAGTGCAACTGCAACACCGAGAACTCTTGCCCAGCTGGACCAGCCGGACCAAAGGGAACCCCAGGACACGATGGACCAGATGGAATTCCAGGAGTTCCAGGACACGACGGAGAGGATGCCGATGACGCCAAGGCCCAAACCCAACAATACGAGGGATGCTTCACCTGTCCAGCCGGACCACAAGGACCACCAGGATCCCAAGGAAAGCCAGGAGCCCGTGGAATGCGTGGAGCTCGTGGACAAGCCGCTATGCCAGGAAGAGATGGATCCCCAGGAATGCCAGGATCCCTTGGACCAGTCGGACCACCAGGAGCCGCCGGAGAGGAAGGACCAACTGGAGAGCCAGGAGCCGATGTTGAGCATCAAATCGGGCTTCCAGGAGCCAAGGGAACTCCAGGAGCACCAGGAGAGTCTGGAGACCAAGGAGAGCAAGGAGATCGTGGAGCAACTGGAATCGCTGGACCACCAGGAGAGCGTGGACCACAGGGAGAGAAGGGAGATGATGGACCAAATGGTGCTGCTGGAAGTCCAGGAGAGGAAGGAGAGCCAGGACAAGATGCTCAATACTGCCCATGCCCACAGAGAAACGCCAACAGCGCCGTCTCCGGAAATCAGGGATACAGAAACTAGATTTTCAAATCTTCTCAAATGTTTTCTTGTTGATAATAAACCTATTTATTCAAAAATCCCTTTTACCAAAGATCAAAAGTTAGGTCAGAACTTCGTTTAAAAAATTGAAGAACATTCCTTTGAGCCAATTTATCTTGGTTCCTGTGCAACATTGCAAAAAGTAGTCAACTAACAAAATAAGTGTCATAATATCAGTAACATTTTATTAGTTGATTACTTCCTGATATCTCTTACAGTAACCAAAATAAATTAGGTCAAAGCTGCCGGCTTGAGGATTTCTTATCCGCCCGTATAAAGCAACGGACACACTGCCAACTTTAAGCTCATTTATCTCGGTTCCTGTGAGAGACATAAAAAACGGTAAACTGATAAAATATTTTTGAGATTATGATAAACATTTTGTTAGCCGACCACTTTTTGATATCTCTTACAGAAACCGGGATAAATTAGCACCGGACACACTGCCAACTTTGATCTTATTTCTAAACTAATTATATTCAGTTAAATCTTCAAAATCTGAAGATATCTTTTATAATAATGGGAAATAGTAAATTGAAATCGGTCCGGCTGAAGGGTTCAAACAGCACCCCCCCCCCCCAGGTTCCCAACTGCGCAGCTCAGCAGGTATCCAAATTTTGAGCCAATTTATCTCGGTTCGTGTAATAGATATCAAAATGTGGTCAACTAATAAATTATTTATCATGATATCAGTAACATTTTATCAGTTGACTTTTTTTTATATCTTTTACAGTAATCGAGATAAATTGGGTCAAAGTTAGAAGTGCCGAATTTCAGGGTATTTTTCGGCGGATTACTGTAGCTCAAATTTTCGTAAGTATTATAATTTTGAATATATTTTTTATAGTGATTTTCATAAATTTTTGTACGTTCTTTTCGAGATTTCAGTCTATTTTTTCAAAAAATATTTGAAAAAAAAACGAAAAATTGAGCTACAGTATCAAAGGCACATTTATTTATTTTACAAAAGTTTCGATAAACTGGAAGATTCCGGAACGAAAACTACCGTAATCCAAAAGATTATTTATTTCCCGGATTTTCAGCAATTTTTCCAAAACTCTAATTTAGGATACAGTGGTTTCTTCAAAAATCTTTAAACTTGAAATATAAAAAAATTAGTTTTAGTCTCAATCATTGAAATTTGGCACCGAGCCAAGTTCGGACGCGTCGCGTGTCGGCGTAGCGGTCGCCAGCTGACAGCTGAGTATGAGTAGCGACAAAACACAGAGCTTAGGCGCTCAAATTTTCAAAAAACGTTCAAAAATTCAAGAATTGGCGGGAAGCCAAGAAAGTGCGACATAGCGCACTTTCTTTAAATGCTTATGATAAATTCAATAAAAAATTACAAAACACAAGAACGAATTTATTTTTCGAAGAAAGGCGTTTTGAGACAAATGAGACTTCTTCTCTATTATTCCTTCTTCTCCTCCTTCTTCTCTCCATCATCCTTCTCCTTCTCCTTCTTCTCATCATCTCCTCCCTTTTTCTTCTCCTCCGCCGCCGGTTCATCAGTTTCCAAAAGTGCTTGCATTCTGATCACTCCGTCTGGCTTCGTGTCAGCAGTCCAGATTTTTCTCGGATCCGCTTTTGGATCGGAGCATGCCACGTGGTAGATTGCAAAGAAGTGTCTATTCGGATCAATTCCAGCCTTTGGTTTAAGAGTGATCTTCACAGCAGCCGTCTTTCCTGGCTCAACTAATCCAAGTGGCGGGCGAACACGGAAGATTTCATTGTCGGTGCATTTGACCTTGTAGCAAATGCGCTCCTTCGTTGGATTCATAATGCTCAATGGCACTGTTGCCTCGTCTTTCATGTTGTATTTGATGGCTATTTTGTCAGCGGGCTCCACTTTCAACTTGAACTCTGGCTCTCCTCCTTTGTTTGGAAGTGGCATCTGGAAGACGATTTTGAGATTTTTGATTTGAATTTTTACTCACTTTGAACCTGTTCTTTTGACAATGGTTAGAAGTCTCAAATCGAAATGGCTGAATTGATTGGAAATACACGAAAAGGGAGGAGGGAAAATGCTTACAACTTTAGAAGTTCAAAAACACGTTTCTTGAAATTTATAGGGAAAATTCGCTAACTTTGATCTAATTTATCTTGGTTACTGTAGCAGGTATCAAATAATAGTCAACTGACAAAATGTTGTTGATATTATGATTAACATTTTATGAGTTGACAATTTTTGACATTTCCCATAAAAACCAAGATAAATTGAATTAAAGATTACAGTAGGGGGCCTTCCCTCTCCACGCACAAACTCTCGCACTCTCAACTTTGACCCAAGTTATCTCGATTCCTATTAAAGATATCAAAACGTGGTCAACTGACAAAATGTTTATTATTAAATCATAAAAATTTTGTTAGTTGACAACTTTTTGATATCGTTTACAGTAACCGATAAAAAATTGGGTCAAAGTTACCAGATGCGCCATCGTAGCTCATTCAATAAGAAATTATTCCATGTCCCTATAGTTATCTTCATATTTGAAAAATTAGAATTTTTCTCTAAAAACTACAGTGATCTCAATTTTTCATAAATTTTTCGAATTTTTTTTTCAAAACTACAGTAATTTTCTTTTTTACAAGTTTCCAAAATTTCTCTCAAAATTACCGTAATCTTTATTTTTAAAATTTTCAAAACTTCTCTCAAAACAACAGTAGTCTTTGTTTGAATTTTTCGACTATTCTATCAAAACTACAGTAATCGTCATATTTTATAGTTTTCAAAATTTCTCTCAAACAACTACGGTAATCCTCATTTTTATAATTTTCAAACGTTCTCTCAAAACTACACTAATCCTCATTTTGAAGCGTTCAAAATTTCTGTCAAAACTACAGTAATCTTCATTTTTAAAATAATTTTCAAAACTTTTCTGAAAACTACAGTAATCTTCATTTTTAAAATAATTTTCAAAACTTTTCTGAAAACTACAGTAATCTTCATTTTTAAAATAATTTTCAAAACTTTTCTGAAAACTACAGTAATCTTCATATTTTAAAATTTCGAAGTTCCTTCCAAGAAACTACAGTAATTTCCATTTTCATAGTTTTTAAATTTTCTCTCAAAACTACAGTAGTTTCAGTGATTTCGAATTTTTTCAAATTTTTTCACTGATTTTTCGAAAAACCTTTGAATCTCAAGGCTAATTTAAATCGGGAAATGGGAATCGATTTCGGAATTTTAGAAAAATTTCAAAAATCGTGATTTTAACAGACAATGCGTTTTTTCACAAACATTGTATTTCAAAAGAATAAAAATCAATAAAAAAAAGTTCTACATCATTTCATCGCTCCAGCAGGTGGCTTTTCAATCTTTTCGACACTTTGGACAACCTGAAAATTTTTTTCTCAACAATTTTTTTTTAATTTCAAATATCCCTACCGCAGACATAGAGCACCGATTCTCAGGATCCGCTGTGAATACTTTTTCGCTGACTAGTTTTCGTAGTTCGGCAGGTGCAGAAGACGTCAATTTCAAGAATTGATTCTTTTTTGTCTGAAATATTTGAAAATTTCCAAAAGCTCTGAAATTCCAGTCCCACTAAATTCCGAATAGTCTGCGCATTTTTCCCGTCATGCGGTTGGTGTCCATTTTCATAAATCTCCCAAATCACGCATCCAAACGAGAAGACGTCAGTTTTGGGTGTGAAGATAAAGTTCTCAAGTGTCTCGGGAGCCAAATACCGTACTGGAATCTTGCATTGCTCTTTCATTTCGTATCGATCCGTTACTTTCGCCAATCCAAAGTCAGACACTTTTGGCTGAAAAATTTCAGATATTAAAAATTAAAATCTCAAACTTCGATTAACCGTTTTATCCTCAGTCAAGAAAATATTTCGAACTGCCAAGTCTCGATGAATGGTTTTTTGGGAATGTAGATATTCGACACCTTTTGCCGCGCCTAGTACAAATGCCAACTTATCAGCTAGGGTTACTGTATCTTGATTCTCCCGTAGGTACTCGCGAAGTGCACCGCCTGGAAAAAAATGAACTGAACTCTAATTTTTTTTGGAAGCATTTGGAAGTACCAAGACGGCTCCAAATTCCAAAAAAAAAACAAACGTAGTTTTTTAAAATCAACTTTAGAGTCCTAAAAAAATAATCCAACATTTTTCGATTATTTCACATTATACAAAACAACACTAGTGCTTCATTTTTGTAGTTTTTTTGTGAAAATGCGCTCTAGCGGGATATGATGCTTGGAAGTGCCCGAGGCGGCGGTCTATCCTTAAAATTTCAGAAGTTCTTGAGGCGGCGGCCCCCGTTCCACAGGCGCCGGCTTTGACGTGGCATATCTCGCTGGAGCGCATTTGCACAAAAAAGTTGTCAACTACTAAAATAAAGCTCTATTTTTGTTTAGTCTACTCTGAAAATTTCAGACAAATCGAAAAATTTTGCACTACTTTTTCAGGACCTCAAATTGGACTACCGTTCAGGCGCGCTTCAAAGAAGAGGGTTCTTCCAGGTAGCATATTTCGCTAGAGCGCAATTGTACAAAAAAGTTGTCCACGGCATCGCGATTGGGAACCTGAAAAACGCGCGCTTCGTCGCACACAAAAGTTGGCTGCGTGCCAGATTCGAAAATTTTAAAACGTGTTTTGAAAAAAACGTGAAGTTAAACGTTGTTAAGTCGTTACTCACCAAAAAGCCGCGACGCGACCGCGCTACGCGTCCAAACTTGACGCGCTTAAGCGCGAAAGCTTTCCAATTTTAAATCTAGGTTCCCTTCCGCGAGGCCGTGTTGTCAACTACAAAAATGAAGCACCACTTTTGTTTGATCTACTCTAACAATGTCAGACAAATCGAGAAATTCTGGAATAGATTTTCAGGGCTTCAAAGTTGACTAGTGTCCACTGAAACTTTGAAAATAGAAGCAAAATTTTGAGGTTCGCTGGGGCGCGATTTCTGACAAAAAATTCCCTCTAAAACTCACAAGCACACAACTCGGTCATCAGATACAACGGCTCCTTCACCACTGCAATTCCATAACTTCTCAACACATTTTTATGGTCCATCATCCGCATGACACGTGCCTCGTGAAGCAATTCTGATACCTGTTCTCGTGTGACGACATCCGAATTTCTCAACATCTTCACCGCCACTTCCACTGTCTTTTTCGTCGTTTTCACTTTCATTTTTCCGACTCGAACTTCTCCAAACGCGCCTTCTCCAAGCTTTTTTGATTGCAGATCAATGTCTTCATGAACGAATTCCCATGTGGATAGATTGATTGGATTGAGCAATTGGAAATCCGTCTAGAAACATATATTGTCCATTTGGTTCTATTTTTTTCAACGTTTTGTTGTTTTTTCCAGGATCCGAGACAAATTAAGTACAAAACCTGTAATAGAAGGGCTTCCTAACTTTGACCTCATTTATCTCGCTTTCTGTAAAAGATATCAAAACGTAGTCTACCAATAAGATGTTTATCATAAAATTAGTAACATTTTGTCAGTTGAAAGATTTTTGATACCTCTTACGTGCACCGAGATCAATTGGATTAAAGTTAGAGGCACTTCTATTAGAGGCTTTACACAATTTGTTACTACTGTTACCTCTTTGCAAACTCCAGTGTTCTTCAGATAATACGCGAAAAAGTCGGTCATTGTCTTGAAATTTTTGAGAGGTTCCACGTGTATTTGCCCGTTGTCTCTTTTGATAACGAGGTTACGGATCGGGGTGTAGACTGGCTTGCCAGGTTTAGGATTTTCTTTGTCTCCTAGAATTTAGATTTCTATTTAAATAATGAAAACAAATAGAATAACTAACTACAGTAAACCGAAATAACGAATTCTCTCCGTCCAACATCGCCAACTCCAGCCATTTTCGCTTCCTTTGCCTCTTTTTTCGCACATTTCTCTCGACTCAAATTCACCAAAACCTTTACATCTTGCTGATTTTTCTTCCTTTTTTCGACTTCTTGTTTGTTGGCTTGGACTGATGTTCGAATCAAAAAATCGCCGGTGTTTTTGAGTAAAGAATTCAGATCCTCTCTTCCAATGAATCCATGAAAACATGGAAGTTTGTTGATCGACTCTTCTAACCATTGAAAATCTTTTGCTGCCGTTTTTGGGTTCGCTGAGCCGTATGAGGACATTTGGGAACGATCTTTGACTGGCTCATGATCAGAGTTGTTCTGGAAAATTTTTTTCTAGACTGTTCTGAATTTTTAGATTTTGGCCGAATTTGCTTTTATTTTAAACTTTGTCTATACAGTTTATGGCAAAACTGCCTTGGGACATCCCAAAAATAGAGCTTTAATTTTGTAGTGGACAAGTGCTTTGCAGCTATCGAGCTAAGCCAAATAAATGGCATTTTAGTGTCAATTTTGCCGTTTTTGGCACTTTTTTTGTTTCAAATGACAGTTGCCTGGGGCATCTACCCTCCAACCCCTTCTAAAGGTTCCCTCTAACCACGCAACGACACTCCGCTATCCCGCTCGGCGCGCGCACAATTTGAATTTAGTTTTGAGTGATTGCGAGCTTGGATTTGGCTCGTAGTTTTTGGAGAGACTTTTTAAAGGATTTTAAGTGAGTTTGCTTGAATTCTAAGGTTTTATTTGTTTTTTCTTTCTAACTTGTTCATAATAAACCAATTTTGTTACATTTCTTTTTGATTTTCTTCTATTTTATCACAGGAACCTGATACCCCGGACATACCGCGGGCAATTTGACAGATCTCATCAGAATGAAATTTCGCAAAAAAAAAGGTTAATTACAAAAATTTAGTTCTATTCTTGTTTAGTGTACACTGGAATTTTCAGACAAATCAGAAAATTCTGGAACACCTTTCCAGGGCTCCAAATTTGACCATTTTTTACTGAAAAATTCAAATTAGGATGTTTTTCGGTTGACACTCAATTTGACTGATTTTGGCAGAAATTTCGTTTTCAAATTTTTTTTGGAATTCCCTTAAAATTCAAAACTATAAAATCAGACTAAAATTTCTTGTTTTCCTCTTACTATGACATAACAATTTAAAAATATGAGTTTACTTTTGAAAGGACCTCTATTTCAAAATACTGTAGCCACTTTAAGAACACAAATCTCATTTCCTGTACTAGATATCAGAAAGTGCTCAACTGATAAATTGTTTATCATAATATTAGCAAAATTTTATCAGTTGACCACTTTTTGATATCTCTTACAGTAACCGAGATAAATTGGCGCAAAGTTAAAAGATAGGATTAACGAGGTCCGTGACGGTAACTTTTTTTCTCGAACGATTTTTTCTACATTTTTCAAAAAACTCGACTATTTACCTTCTTCCCCTTGACACTTGGTTCATTCTTGGTTGCCTCACATTTCGGTCGATTTGAATCTTTTGGTGTTCCTTTTGGAGTTACTAACGGATTTGGAGACATTGGTTTCATTTGATCCCCTTTTTTCGCAAACGCTGTTCTTGGCTCTTTTTCATCTTTCTTCTTCTTATTATCACTCGTTTTTTCCTCTTTTCTATTCTCATTTTTATCAGTTCCAGGTGCTGAATATTCTTCCTCTTGGGTGCCCATCTCCTTGTTCACTTTATGATCAAATTCCTGGAAACGTTTTCAGAATTTTTTAGATTTCAACTTTTGAAAGAAAACCTTTCTAGCCATTAGCTTGAATAATTTTTTTTTTGAAGACTAGATCGTGTTCCTTTAGTCTTGTTTTAAGCCAAATAAGAATGTGAAATGATTGCTTTGGTGTGATAGAATCTGATAGAAAAATATCAAAACAGCTGAAACAAAAGAGATAAAGCAACGTGGAGCGGGGAAATCGACTTTTGTGACGCGTAACCTAGATTTGTGGGCGGAGCCTGGATTTTCAGGTATCACTTTTCAGAAAATTTAAGATAACAAAAGTTTCAGGCGATTCAGGAATTCCAATAAGATTCCTGGCAGTTTTTGGAACTTCAAAATGTTAAAAAATGTACCGTACACACTCTAATAGAACGCCACCGTTTACTTTGAGCCTAAATATCTCACTTCTTTTGAAAGAGATCAAAAAGTTGTCAACTAATAAAATGTTTCTCATAATATCAGCAACATTTTATCAATTAACCACTTTTTGATATTTTTCACAGAAAATGAGATACATAGTCTCAAATTCAACGATTCGGTTAGTGTTCTATTAAAGTGTTTACGGTAACTTTTTTTGGTGTGGACATTTTTGAGTCAATTTATCTCAATTCTAGTCAGAGGTATCTGAAAGTTGTCAACTGATAAAATATTTATCATAAACTCAACAATATTTTATCATTTAAAATTTTCTGAAATCTTTTACAGAAAACGAAATCAATTACTTCGAAATTTAAAGTGTGAGCCCTTCATTGGAGATTTCATATATTGTCCTCCGGATTACTATAGCTACTTTCAAAGAAAAAATTAGAAAACAACTCAATTTGAACGTTTCGAGGACACCGGAACGGGAACTACAGTAACCCGAAAAAAAAACGTGGTCAGCTGACAAAATTAGGTCAAAGTTAGCGAAATGGGGATCAGAACTGTCAACTTTGACTTAATTTACCTTGGTTATTGTAACAGGTATCGAAACGCATAAATTAAAATAATATCACTGCTATTATGATAAAAATTTTGTCAGTTGAAAACTTTTTGAAATCTCATACAGGAACTAAGATAAATTAGCTCAAAGTGAGCAGTATGAGTGTCTGGTGGAGTGTACTGGCGGATGGAAGGCTGCCGACTTTGACCTAATTTATCTCGGGTACTTTAAGAGATATCAAAAAGTGGTCAACTAGCAAAATATTTGTGATATCATGATATACATTTTACTAGTTTACCACTTTTTGATATATTTTATAGAAAGTTAGATAAATTAGCTCAAAGTCAATTAGCCCTTCTATTATGGTATGTGAAGAGATTCAGGGAGTCAAGTAACTCTGTAATCCAAAAATTTGAAGTTAGATAAGGTAATGAAATCTATTACAGTTATTACAATAGACACAATTTTCTGAAACAAAAATTACGAAGTTCAGACTTCTATGACCCATTAAAGTCGTCGACACGTTTCAAAAAAAATTTCAGTAATTTCCCCGTGGAATGCTCTCCTGCTCCCATAATCCATTTTCTTTCCCCCATAAATATGAACGATTCTACAGATAATCAACAGTACTCGACAACTAACTCTCTAACTCTCTCTAATTACCTTCTCTCACCCTCTACTAACGAAAAATGGGATGCCTTTCATCAATCGAAGCACCACTTTCTGCACTCATCACCATCATCTTCTTGGTCCGATCACTCTTTTTGATCACTTATAAAGTGGTCGAATCGAATTCTCTCGTTGATGAAGAAGCGTTGGATGCTAAAGGTAGAATAATTTGAACCAGCTAGCTGGTGTGCCTTCTAGCTTTTTACTGGTTGGCAGCTCCGATCCTCCAACAGGGATATTTTAAATTTTGAAGTCCTAATTGGTTCCAGATATGCTCATGCCGGCTCTCGGAATCATGTCACTCATCGGAATCTGCTCTTCTCGTCGTGCATTTGGTGTCTTCACAATGCTCTTCATGCTCCACGCCTTCTTCTACTCTGCATTCCATCTCTTCCACACCACTGCCATCTTCATCAAGTCTTTCGATGAGCCGTGTCGTTTTTTGAAGGCTCCAGCAACTGGACAATTGACTTCTGATGTGTGTCATGCGATGAATGGATTCTCGTTGGTGTGCACAGTGGCCACAATGATTGCTACGGTAGGAAACTTGAAATTTTTCATATTCTTCTCGTGTTTACTAATTTAATTTTCTGTCCTTTCTCAAACTTCTGAACACACCCCCTCCCCCCTTAATGATGGTAATCCTACACCATATCGTTGACCTGAATTATCTCGGTTACTGTAAGAGATACCAAAACATGGCCAACTAACAAAATATTACTGATATTATGATACACATTTTATCAGTTGACAACTTTTTGATATCTTTCACAGTAACCGAGAAAAATTGGGTCAACGTGAAAGAGTATTGAAAATTTCAAACTCCTGCTGTTTTTTTCAGGCTCTTGCCACAATGGCGGTCTTCCTTCGCCTGACTACTGTGATTGTCCATCTCTCTGACATGAGAAGCATGGCAACGACCCGTTCATTTGACAACTCCATGCCTCAACTTATCAGCAAAAAAGCGATTGAATCTGAATGCGAGGAGGATGTGGAACTGGAGACGCCAAGAAGAAAAATGGGACAAGCTGATATCTTTGTGTGATTTATTATCAATAAAATTACCCTATCCGTCAATTTTATCCATAATTTACTGAACTTAAATATAACATACTAAAACTAATTTTCGGCTTTTCAGCCATTTTGAATATTTTCAGAGGTTTCCGATCACTTTGAAAATTTTGGAAGACCTAGATTGAAAACTTTGCGTTAAAATTTTTGAAATGAAAGTTACTAGTTTTTTAGCTATTTGCCGATCTGTTTTTTTTCTCTTTTTCAGTACTTGTTCAGTAGTGCTTTATCCTCTTTTTCAGCTACGTCTATTTTACATCCTCCAAAATCGATCGAAAACTGGACAGCCGAGCTCCAGACTCCTTACTGACGAATACCGTATTTCACAAAAGTTGGGGGGGGAGGAAGAAATCCCAAAGAAGAAAAATCACGAAGAAGAAATCAAAACCATGAAAGATCTACCAGACAGAGTGGATGTATTTACAGAGGGTCGATCATTTAGTAGTCTATATTTAGAGTGGTCGAATCAAGGAAAGAATTTGGAACAGTGGATTCAACATCTATTATCAATTTTCCATAAAGAGGAGCCGATTAAAATGAAAGTGTATCTTGGAAAGGCAAAATTAGTGTTCCCATCTTTTCGAAACACTTTTCCAAAAATCAGGAAGATCTATTTGACAAGCGAATATGGAAACGAACTTACCGATCAAGACATCATTTACGCTGAAAATCTTCTGAAAGTTTTTCTTCCATTGGTGGAATATGCCCATCTGGA